GCCTCAGCCTCCCATACAGCTGGAACAGCAGGTGCACGCCGCTGCCCCCAGCGTCCATGTTCATCATAAAAGCCTCGGTCCCATTTCTTCTTTGTCTGTCTTTCTAGACTCTGGAGTCTTTTTTTGTCCCCCTTCAGTATTTTCATATTCTTGACTCCCCATTTTCATGATCTTAATTCTCCTCTGCCCCTCTTGAAGACACAATTCATGTTTCGCGTTACATCTCAATTCTGAAATCTAACTAGATAGATTTCAGATGAACTGTACAAAATACTTTTTCTTTTCTTTCTTTTTTCTTTTTTTGTCATGGGGGTGTACTCACTAGAGAGAGATAGAGAAAGGCAGAGAGAAGAAAGCAAGAAATCGCCCCCCAAGGAGGCTGGCCAGGCCACAATCCCTTCTCCTCCATTCTCCTGTCAGGATTTTGGGCACGCATGCACATGCGCCTGGTGTGGTTTTCAAGCCAGCTAGTCCAAGGACTCAAACCACAGTCAGCACTGTGGGAATGTGGCACTTTAGCCACCACACCACCTACTAACCCCATAAAAAAGGGAAAGAATTAAATGATCAAAGTGAAGCATCCTCACAGGTAAAAAGCAATACATAAAAGCATAAGGTAAAAAACGAAGTCCCCCTTCCTACCCTCCAGACTCCAGCACTGGCTCATGGGGCCCTTTCAGAGGTTCCCTTGGCCTACATCAACACATACATGGAAACAGACAAGTAACATTTTCTAGAAGACGTGGCTGAGGTTTGGAGAGGCCAGGCAGACAGTGTGCCTAACATCCATAACTAACAGGAGGAAGAGCCCCAAACTCATCCAGGCTTTCGGATCCCAGAGCCTGTGCCTCGAACCACTCGGCAATTCAGCTTCCTCATTAAGGGCCTGCACGTGGTCCTGTGAAGTCTTTCCCTGACTTCTTGCTTTCTTTCTTTGAGAGAGATTTTTGCTCTAGGGTGCATGTGCTCGCTGGAGAGAGAAAGACAGACAGAGAGACAGAAGACAAAAAATCACCCCCCTGGGGAATGGCCATGCTTCAATCCATTCTCCATTCTCTCCTCGGGATTTTGGGCATGCACTCACATGCACCCCGTGTGAGTTTCAAGGCGTTAGCTCTGGGATTCAAACTGTGGTCAACCATGTGAGAGAGTCCAACACCTTAACCACTATGCCACCTGCTGGCCCCTTGCCACGACTTTTAAACCTCCTTTAGATCGCTATTTTGAATGGAATTTTTTCTTCCATTTTGTTTTGGAATGAGGTAAGTGTTTCATATGGGAAAGTTTGTCTGTCTTTCTAGACTCTGGAGTCTTTTTTTGTCCCCCTTCAGTATTTTCATATTCTTGACTCCCCATTTTCATGATCTTAATTCTCCTCTGCCCCTCTTGAAGACACAATTCATGTTTCGCGTTACATCTCAATTCTGAAATCTAACTAGATAGATTTCAGATGAACTGTACAAAATACTTTTTCTTTTCTTTCTTTTTTCTTTTTTTGTCATGGGGGTGTACTCACTAGAGAGAGATAGAGAAAGGCAGAGAGAAGAAAGCAAGAAATCGCCCCCCAAGGAGGCTGGCCAGGCCACAATCCCTTCTCCTCCATTCTCCTGTCAGGATTTTGGGCACGCATGCACATGCGCCTGGTGTGGTTTTCAAGCCAGCTAGTCCAAGGACTCAAACCACAGTCAGCACTGTGGGAATGTGGCACTTTAGCCACCACACCACCTACTAACCCCATAAAAAAGGGAAAGAATTAAATGATCAAAGTGAAGCATCCTCACAGGTAAAAAGCAATACATAAAAGCATAAGGTAAAAAACGAAGTCCCCCTTCCTACCCTCCAGACTCCAGCACTGGCTCATGGGGCCCTTTCAGAGGTTCCCTTGGCCTACATCAACACATACATGGAAACAGACAAGTAACATTTTCTAGAAGACGTGGCTGAGGTTTGGAGAGGCCAGGCAGACAGTGTGCCTAACATCCATAACTAACAGGAGGAAGAGCCCCAAACTCATCCAGGCTTTCGGATCCCAGAGCCTGTGCCTCGAACCACTCGGCAATTCAGCTTCCTCATTAAGGGCCTGCACGTGGTCCTGTGAAGTCTTTCCCTGACTTCTTGCTTTCTTTCTTTGAGAGAGATTTTTGCTCTAGGGTGCATGTGCTCGCTGGAGAGAGAAAGACAGACAGAGAGACAGAAGACAAAAAATCACCCCCCTGGGGAATGGCCATGCTTCAATCCATTCTCCATTCTCTCCTCGGGATTTTGGGCATGCACTCACATGCACCCCGTGTGAGTTTCAAGGCGTTAGCTCTGGGATTCAAACTGTGGTCAACCATGTGAGAGAGTCCAACACCTTAACCACTATGCCACCTGCTGGCCCCTTGCCACGACTTTTAAACCTCCTTTAGATCGCTATTTTGAATGGAATTTTTTCTTCCATTTTGTTTTGGAATGAGGTAAGTGTTTCATATGGGAAAGTTAGAGGTGCGGACTTTTTATATCCTACTTTGATAGCCAAGCATCATTCTGAATTCTTGCACTGTTATGCTTTTGTTTCTGCTATAGGGTGTGTTTGCATGCTGGAGACAGAAAGAGATAAGGAAGGTAAGAAACCGCCCCCCAGGGAGATGGCCACACTGCAGCCCTGTCTCCCCCATGCTTCTGCAGGGATTTTGGGCACGCATACAAATGCATCCAGTGTGCTGTTCTAGCTGCCGGGTCTGGGACGCTGACTTGGCCGCCAAGTGGGAATCTAGCCACCTTCACCTTCACGCCGCAGCTGACTCTTACACTGTTCTGCAGTTAATTCCCTTGATGTTGTCACATGTTTCCATACATGTTGTCCACATTCCCTGTCTAATGGCAATGGCCGAGTGGATGAGTGGTCTTCTCTCTGGCCTTGTTCCTGACTGATGGGACCTTTCAGATGTCTTGCCATGAAGCGTGACACAGGGTCGTATGCACAGGTGTCTACAGACCTCCCCGTGTGAGTGTGTGTACACAGTCGCATCATTAGCAGGTTCTGCATTTGTCCACTCAACTATGCACTACAGTCTGCGTGTAGTCCCAAACCACGAATACTGTGACTCGAGGTCACCAAAGACACGCACGGAGCAGCACTGAACGGCTTGACTTTCAGGGCCCCGTGGAGGTGGAAGAAGGCATAAGTGAGTTCTTTAGTGACACTTTTTTTGTGTGCTTCTTGTTGGTGTTTTTGCAGTTTAAAGGCCCAAGCAGAGTGTGAAGCGCTGTTTGACGATCCTAAGTGTGAGAAGGTCATGAAGGCCTTACACAGCAGGTGCGCGGATTGGACGAGCTTCATTCAGGCAGGAACCACCACACTCTCGGCCACGGGTTCAGAGTTAGCAATATCTATTAATGGGGTGTCTTTTTAAAAAGGTTTTTGAGAGGCTTTTCCTATAGGGTGTGTGTGTGCTCACCAGAAAGACACAGAGAGACAGAAAGCGAGAAATCACCCCTGAGGAAGGATGGCCACACCACAATCCCTTCTCCTCTGTTCTCCTCTCGGGATCTTGGGCATGTATGCACATGTGCCCAGCGTGAGTTTAAGCCACCGAGTCTGGGACTCGAAGCATGGTCGACTACATGGGAGTCCAGTGACACAGCCATTATGCCATCTACTGGTCCCCATAAACAGGGCATCTTTAAACACAAGCACATAAAACTACTTATCTTGGGCCAGCAGGTAGTGTGGAGGTTAAGGATCCTGCATGGCCGGCTGAGTCCCAGACCCAGCAGCCTGAAAATCGCACCAGTCAACCACATATGCCCTATGCCAAAACCTGAAAATAAATAAGTAAATAAAAGCAAAAACAAACAAACAAAAAAACAAAACCACAACCAAAAACGAGCTTATCTGTTGCTCGGTTAATGAGATGTTAGCAGAAGTTCATGGGAACCTAGCCCTGTATTTGCCCTTGGAGTGGTGAGTCAGTATTAGCCAGTCCAGTGTTCAGGGTGACTCTGTAGGACAAAACTACCATGAAGAATGAGAACCAACTCTATATAAATACTTACGAAGGGGTCTCCAAAATCTTTGTGGAAAATGCATATCATGAAAAAACTGCACGGCTTTTGATCTTTTTTGCACCAAAAATCCTTATATTTTAATTCCGTTACCTACAAACTTTTTTTTTTTTTTTTTTGGAGAGATTTTCACTGTAGGGCGTGTGCGCTCGCCAGACAGACAGAGAGAGACAGAGACAGAAAGCGAGAAATCACCCCCCAGGGGGGATGGTCACGCCACAATCCCTTCTCCTCCATTCTCCTCTTGGGATCTTGGGCACGCACGCACACACGCCTGGCGTGAGTTTTAAGCCACCGGGTCCGGGACACGAACCGCGGTCGACTACGTGGGAGTCCAGCGACATAGCTATTACGCTAACTGCTGGTTCCCCGTTACCTACAAACTTTTTGAAACCCCATATAAATTTCTTTTTTTTCTTTTTTTTTTTCTTTTTTGTTTTTTTAAGAGGAGCCCCATGTATATTTCTTTTTTTTTTTTTTTTTGGAGAGATTTTCGCTGTAGGGCGTGTGCGCTCGCCAGACAGACAGAGAGAGACAGAGAGACAGAAAGCGAGAAATCACCCCCTGGGGGGATGGCCATGCCACAATCCCTTCTCTTCCATTCTCCTCTTGGGATCTTGAGCACACACGCACACATGCCCAACGTGAGTTTTAAGCCACCAGGTCCGGGACTCGAACCGTGGTTGACTACATGGGAGTCCAGCGACATAGCCATTATGCTAACTGCTAGTCCCGATACATTTTTACACACACATACATCTTAACAATATATGTTATTGCTGATATACACCATTTGAGAGATGTATTTTCAATCACATCAATGTGTATCCATATAGTTGAATTGTATCAACTTATTTTCACAATGAGGGACTGAGGAGGGGTTTCCCAGAGACCTGCCTCTGAAACGCACAGTTCTGCAGGCCTTGCCTTGGCCCTGCTGAGAGGAGACTCACCGGCCAGGAGAGCGTGGATGTTCAGGCCTCTGTCCTGGTCTGCAGGACTGCACACGTCCATCATGTAGGCGTGGCTGGGGTTATCGGCCGAGTCGGCGCTGAAGTCCATCAGCACGACCCCGCACACGGTCAGGAGGATACCCCACTTGTGGTTGCTGGTTGTGTCAGCCAGGGCGATGCCGATGTCCCTGCCATTTAGCAAGAGCGACAGGCCCAGCAACGCCCCTGGAAACAGAAACAGAGTCACTCGGAGAAAATGGAGACCAGCTGTCCCCCATAGTTTACTACTTACATCTAGAATCTTTTTTATAAAATCAGACTTCATGCAGAGCCCATCGGAAAGCCACCTGCAGACTCACCAGAGGTTTTCTATTTGGATCAGAGTTTTTATTTCACAAG